GGGAAGGGGGGGGGGGGGGGAGTGTTCAGGGCCCCAATGCAGTGGGACTTCAGCTTTCTGCTCTGGGCTCTAACAAATCTAATACTTGCCCTGCTTAGACTCCTGAAACCTGCTTGCAGCCCCCCTGGATGCCTGGACCCCTGGTTGAGAATCATTGGCCTAACATATAGCACCCAGGTACGTGTAATAGCAACATTCACCTTCACAATAAGCAGGAGTGGTAAACCAAGGTAGAGCATTACAAGAAGGATTACTGCTGGGCACTTTTTTAAAATTGGTCCCTTACCAGTAAAGTTGGTAAGCAATTTCAAGTAATGTATTGCCTGTACATGGACTCAAAAGGCTTGATCCAATTCCCACATAAGGCAATGGATCTTTCCTATTGATTTATCTGGGAGTTGGATAGGGTGCAACATGACCACTACTAAAGTATTTAGTCCAACATCATGAACTACTTATTCACAATAGTGAACAGTTACATGAGTCTGAACAAGAGGTTCATTATCTGTCCCTGAGACTGTAGTTTATCCAGTACCTAATTTTAACCCTATGGTTGGTCCACTGAAGACAGTGGGCCTACTCACATGCTTGAAGTTAGGAACTTGCTCAAGTACCTTGTTAAATTAGGACCTCTATGATTCATTTTCACAAGCAGGCAGTTTTTCTATTTGCAAGGCTTTCCTCCATTTTATTTTTGGCATGTGAACAATTCTAGACAAAGCTCGCCACCTGTGGCTTAATGCATGTCAAACTTCCCAGGGAACCAATGGGGTTTTGTTTGAAACCTGGCTCCATAGCCATTGACGATTTTTTTAAATTAGCCGTATATTTACAATTACATATCAAAGACTGGTTTCTTAACACACAATTTTAACTAAGTTTGACACACAGTTATGCTATTTTTAATCATCAAACCATTCCTTTCAATGAATTTTATGATAGCAGGAGCTGATGTATATAATCTTAAGTGTAGTGATTGCAAGAATTTCCATTGTAACTATGTTTTCATTTGCTGATAACCTTTTAAAACTTTCAGCTATTGGGCTGAAGTTTTCTAAGTTTAGTCTGTGCCTGGAGGTATGGGGATGAGCATCTGGGGTCAAAAAGAAATACACAAATGCAGCTGTTTTGAAATCTTGTCCCTTAAAACAAATATCTTGCTCATTCTTCTGAACTTTTGTAGGACCACAATAGCTGGGATTGAACACAGAAATTTGGCATAGAAATATCCCTCATTTGGAAAAGTTTGAGTGTACCAGTAAAAACTGGTATTGATATGACTAATTCTGAACCTTTGAAATTTGTGCTTTGAACATGTACAGCATAATAATTGTATCATAGTTTAATGCCTGTGGCAACTTATGCATCACAGCTTGCTGCTGCTCTAAAAGTGTGCGGTTAGCACATTTTTACTTACATTATTAATCTAAGAGAAAGCAGTAACAGTAACCTTTACACTCCCCCCCCCCCTTTTTTTTTTGTAAGATTGAAGCTGCACATATTCTGAGGTCTGCAGGCGAGGCAAGCATCTAAAGTATTCTGGTGCTGTTTAGCCCAATAGTGCATCATCATAGAATTACTCCCATCCCACCACCATTTAAGAAAAAGAGAGAACATTTCTGTTGTATAATTAGCACACAGGAAGTCTGAAAGCAATAATGTTAAGGTTGCAAACACCTCAACTCTGCTCCTTCATGAATTACTATTCTGTTTAAAATTAAATACTCACATAGGTTTTTCCTGCAACCTTACTATAATCCAAAAATATTGATATACACATGGGTTCTTAAATTGGTTTCACTGGCATGGTTGAGTACATGCTTATTGAAAAAGTTATTTTCTCTCTGGAGGGTATTTTGATAATGTATTTTGTGGCAACATGCTCTGCAATTTCTTTTTACCCAATGTATAGTATTTATTTATTTTTTAAGGATGAGGCAGTTAACTACAAACTTAGTTTAAATACATATTTAGCTGTCTTAAATGTGCCAGCAAATACTGACCATGACTTTAATCTGTGGTATGCTGTGTAAAAACAGCACTGCGCTTCATCAAAATGGCTTTAATGGAATATATGACACATTCACAGGCTCCAATCACTATATATTTATCAGAAGTTATGGAAAGAAGTGTGTGATTACAGGAGAGGTATCACTTGATTACCTGTTCTATTCACTCCCTCTGGGGCATCTGTCACTGGCCACTGTTGGAAGACAGGATACTGAGCTAGATGGACCTTTGGTCTGACCCTGTATGGCTGTTCTTATTTGAAGGAGGGGAAGAGAAGCCATGACAGAAGGAGTCATGGGGGGGATTCTAGGCACAGCTGTATGAAAGAAGTTAGACACTTGCTAAGAATCATCACCCCCGTAAGAACAATATTCTAATAAACCAACTTTATCCTGTGGAAATTCTGCAAGATTCATGACTGGAGTCAGTGGAGATTGCAGAAATTATGGATTCCGTGACTTTCTACAATCTCTGACTTCTGCAGTAACCCATGTGGCTGAACTCAAGGTCAGCTGCTCAGGCAGCTGGCCCTGGGGACTGCCCAAGCAGCAGCTGGTGTGATTGTTGCTTAAGCTGTCTTGGGAGCCAATCCCAGGGGGATGGAATAGCTAAATATACATTTAAACTAAGTTTGTGGTTAATTGCCTCGTCTTTTAAAAAATGCTATACAGGCAGTCCCCGGGTTACGTACAAGATAGGGACTATAGGTTTGTTCTTAAGTTGAAAGTTCCAGCGCCTGCCACTGAAACTGACCAGGGGCTGACTACAGGAAGCCGGAGGCACAGTTACTCTGCCCCCAGCTTCCTGGAATCAGCCTGATCAGTTTCAACAGCTGCTGAATCTGGAGCCTGGGACAGAACAGCTGTGGCACTGCCCGGTGTTCCCACAGGACCGACCCGGCAGCACCGGTAGGTTCCGACAGGACCAACCCGGCAGCACCCCAGCTGCTCTACCCGAGGCGTCCCGCAACAAAAGCCTGGTCTGCTGGGGGGGTGCACTAGCTGCGCCCCCACCTCCTCCAGCAAACCAGGGAGACCCGAGCAAAGCCGCACAGGCGGACGGACCCTGCTGCCCGTGTGGCTTTGCTCCTGTCTCCCTGGGGTGCTGGGGGGAGTCCCCCCCAGCACACCAGGGAAACCCAAGCAAAGCCGCACAGGTGGAGGGACCCCGCCGCCCGTGCGGCTTTGCTCCTTTCTCCCTGGGGTGCTGGGGGGAGTCCCCCCCAGCAGACCAGGGAGACCCGAGCAAAGCCGCATAGGCGGAGGGACCCCGCCGCCCGTGTGGGGAGCAAAGCCCCCCAGGCGGCGGGGGGTCCCGCTGCCTGGGCGGCTTTGCTCCCGGGCAAACGAGCAAAGCCGGCCAGGCGGCGGCTTTGCTCGAGTGTCCCTGGTCTGCTGGGGAGGGCCAGCGGCTTTGCTGGACCCCCCCCCAGCAGACCAGGGAGACCGGGAGAAGCTTTTCTCGCCCGTGAGCTCCGGGGCGAGAAAAGCCTCATTTGTAAGTGCGGATCCGACATAAGTCGGATCCGCGTAAGTCGGGGTCTGCCTGTACTTTGGGTAAAATGAAATTTTATAGTACATTGCTACAGAATATATTATCAAAATATCCCCAGCTAAGGTTTAGTCAGGGGTATTTATAATGCAAGCCATGGACCAGATTTTTGTTTACTGCCTGTACCGGTCCATGAATTTAACTAAAAATAGCTAAAACAATGTCAGCCTTACTCATGACACTTGTCAAAAAATTTTTTTAAAACTTTCCTAAATAAATCAATATAGCAAGTGTCAAAAAAGAAAACCAACATATTTAAAGGACAATAGTAATTAAACACTGTACAGAATTAGTCAAGCTATTGACAAACTATCCACTTTATCTCCCAAGACACATTTTGTCATGTCTGATGAATTAAAAATCTGCTGAAAGGGTTTTAGATCAGATGTGCATGCCACATTCGTCTCTTACTGAACAAGCAGGGCACTACCTTTTACAGGAACCCTATTCCACAGCAAATACATCACGCCAATTTCAATAGCCATATGCTTGTAAGCACTGACTAAGCAGGCACAAAGTGCAATTGAGAGCCAGGAAATGTTACTGTGCTTGCTCATCACACCTGCTGAGAAACCCAATGCACCAAGTTTCTTTTTGTAGAATTGCTCAAAGTAACTTTACTCTAATTCACCTTGTAGCCCTTGTTCTCAGAAGGAAATGCATTTTCAGTTATTAGAAGTAAGGATAAAATAAATCCATGTGATTTTTATGCCAGATCAAATCTAGATTTAATCAAACTTTTAAATGTTTAATAGTGCAGCGAGACTGCTTCCCTTCATTGCCTTACTACCATAGCTGCAATAAGCAGAGGAACTCAAGCTAGATTCCCCTATTATCAGAAAGGGGGCAATAGGCAGGATGCCTTTGTGAGGGCTCTGGAAGTTATTCCCTCAGCCCGGTCTGCTGATTTTCCAGGCACACTGCAAAAGATATGCTTGAAAGGGTTGCAGACCGTTCAGCAAGGTTCCTATAGAACTGATTGTAATGCTGCTGAGATTTAAATGTAATTGTGGTAGGGCTCCTAGAGTGTTGGATATATGTATTGCGTATTTCAAACCTAAAAAAAATTAAAAAAAAATCTTCTTACCATTCAATTTGAATGCATTTATCAAATTGAAATCAATCTATACATGTGGCAAAATATGTCAGTGAAGTGTAGCATGGAAAAAATTCTTATGAAGTGAGTTTTACCCACAAAAGCTTATTCTGTAATAAATGTATTAGTCTCCAAGGTACCACAGGACTCATTTTTGCAGATACAGACTAACACGGCTACCCCTGAGTCTTAGAAGAGTATGTGTGGTGCATATCAGGGATCCCTTTGTCTTAATATGGAATTACACAGATATATTAATGGTTTCCAAAATTATCTCTAAAAAGTCTACATCTAGAAGAATCAGGATCGCAAGAATAGAAAGGGTATAAAATGGGTACAACAAGGATGTCCATTAGTGCTCTAGTAAGGATATAAAGGATCCAGAGGAGGGAAAATATTCTCATCATGAATGAAACAATGTAAAGTAGCACACATTTTCAAAAATTAGTACTAAAAGCAACCCTGAAAGCTTTTCACTCCTCTCATCTGACAGTTTCATGGTAAAATTGGAGATGGCCTAAATTAATATTTTGCCAGGCACCTGTGTGAAATTGCACAGTATGAATCAGTTTTCAAAAGTAGGCAATTGAATGGAAAAGAAAATCGAGGAAAAAGTAGGGAAATTTACTATAAATAGCTAAAAGAAAGCCAACTAATGACTAGGTTTGCCTATTCAGTGAAGTTGGAACTAAGTTTACTTGAAATGACGGAATATAAAAGAGTGATGTAAGTATTTGTAAATTTTTCTCTATTATTTTAAAAACCTTCCACTGTTAGTCATCTGTATTAGTTTACTTCCACTCATGTACATTGTATTTCTCAAAGTAATTGCTGCTTTCAGCGCACACACAAAACATATATAGTCTCCTGAAATGAAATCTTATTTGGATTAAAAAAAAAAAAAATCAACCACTACAAAGCTGTTGGAAAAGCATGTTCGCAATTGGGCTCCATTAATTTTACACTAGTGAACCTCTACCTGCTTCAGTGGGAGAAAGGACAAGGGTAACAGTAACAACACGTGGATACTTAAGTTATCTACTACACAGCCTAAAGAGCTATGAATTAAATAAGTATTCTTTAAGTTTACTTGTGTAAACCAACATCAGTACTTCCAATTACCCCTTTATCTATTATGAATCTATTACCCCATCATGTAAACTTGTGAAACTTCCACTAACATTTATGGCAGCTACATGTACATAATGACTTAATAGTTGGCTAAAATTAAGATATTAAATTTTCCACCACATCAAGTTTTGAATAATCATTACAATCTAACACTTCACACATTTTATTTAAGAGTGTCTCTAACATGAGAGTAAGGAAATTGATCGGTTGCCTGTGTTGCTGATTTGGAATCAAAACTCATTTCAGATGATTTGTTAAAATTAAGCATAAACTAGCATTTGCCAAAGCATGCTCTTTATGGATTAATCACAAGTCACATTGCTTTGTACTGCTTTTGTAGTATGTACAAGTCTGAACTATAACTTTCAAGTTATCCACCCTTTCTGAAGATAAGATAGCGTCTAGTGACATGCATAATTTATGTATTTTATACTTGCACAGGACTTGTGTGTTGGGGTGACATCCAGGTAATTAACTGCACAGGAATATGATATTTATCACTCAGGCTCGACCTCATTGGGTAGCCTCTTGCATGAATCAGTTTCCCCAATACTACTCAAATCTTTGAACACACAGTTTTTCTTATTTTAAATCCATATATTACATTTCACTCCACAAATTATACTTGCTCAAAGCCCAGAATAGGCATGATTTAGCTCTAACCTTGTGACAAGTTTTCCATACCTAACAATGCCATGTCTTTAAATTCCATTGTCCTGTAGAATCAGACATAGGAGCTTTACAGTACTAAAAAGAGGAGATTCCCAATGGAACCCACCATTCACTTTTTAGCCCTTGAAAAGCCCAAAATACCAGACTAAGTTTGGAACATCTTTATGCCTATAAAAAAGGGTATATTAGGTCATTTTCAGAGGTATATTACATTATTTTTTTCATCTCTTGAAGGTCTTCACAATTGGACACTGTCATGAACAGGAGGAGTGCTGACCAGAACCTGATGACTAAGGAGTTAACTCAGGTACCTAGTAAAGGTGTTGGCTGGGGGCTGGGAGAATGGGATAGAGGGTTGAAATTTCAAAGGGATATAGGTTCCTTGACTGTTTTTTTTTTTTTGTGGGGGAGAGTTAAACCAGGAGTTGAGAGAAAGAATGATTTAAACCCAGGCAGGACTACAAGACTGCCCCCCATCCCTTCACGGAATTCAGGACATGGGAGTGGACTGAACAAAGAGAAAATTCGGAGTGAGTACCAGGGAAATATGAATCCAGTCACATTTAGGGTAATTTTTCTTTATGTTGTGGTTTGGTTTGAACTGTTCTGTGTGATTCTATGCATCTCCCCCACCCTCTTTACCATCTAAGCATTATGCCAAAGTTTTTTTTCCTCTGTTTTAGTTCGGTTTCCTCACTTGTTCTGTAACATCTAGCAACTAAGTATGCATAGTCAAGTTTATTGTTTGTTTTGTAATAAAAAAAATCACTCATTTTAAGGTGATGATTTTATTCTTGCATCCTGGAAGGTCTGACTATCTGCATGCCTCTGACAAGGGTCAGGTATCAGAGACTACAGTTTGTTCTATTTTATTTTTTTGCAAGGTCTTTTGGGGCAAAAGAGATTGGGGGTACCCTTGGGGTTGATTTCAAGTGCTCACCCCAGTTTTAGGAAAAAAGCACTTGATGGTAGCAGCAGTTCCCCAAAATCTATGTATTATGATTGGGGGGTGGGATAGTTTTGCCTGTAGAGGCAAGGTTTTGAAGCTCTCGAAGGACCCCCATCTTCTGCACTCCGAGTGCCAGAGAGGGGAACAGCCCTGACAATCAAAGTAACTAAAGCTCGATCCTACAATTGGTAAATGTGAGAGAGGACTATTGTGCTCCTGGAAAACCCCAAAATCCAAGTACATACATTTGACATTTTAAAGCAAAAAAAGCATTTCACAGGCACAACTGTCAACCCACGTGTTAGCAATTTCATGATTGGCATCTAAAACACATTGTTTTACAGAAGGAAAGACAGAGCTGATGTAGTGAAGACTTTTTAAAAAGCCTTTAAAACCTTCCTAGAATCATTTCTGTAGCATATATAGTATATACAAGATAAGCAGTAGTGTGGTATAATAGAAAAGTTTTATACCATAGTATGGTATTAAAAACAAACATATTCCTTTGCAAAGACCTAATAATGTAAATGGCTCTCTTACTTGAATGTAATACGGGACCATTTCAAACTCATGCCAACAAAATCTTTCTACCATTCATACCTTTCCACCATGCGGTCCATATTTTAACACTGTACCTCAAAATAGACAAGATATTTCCTATTAAGATTTTTGCATTTCACAATAACAGTCCTGCAAATAGATGGGCTAAGGCCATGTTTCTCATACTGTGGGTCCTGACCTCCTGAGGGGTCCCAAGCAAGTTAGAGGGGGGTAACAGTATCACAAAGTTTGAGAACCCCTGAGCTAAGGTGTATTTTTATATCTATATAGTCTTGCTGATAACAGCACTCTACTTGGAGCCAAAACATCTGTCTGCAGGATAAGTGAATAAGAGAACATACAAAAAAAGCTTAACTCTTCCTCACAACACTTTCTTTCAACAGTTCAGTCATAGAACATAAACTGTTATTTACAGAAGTCTCTAAAACACCATCTACCATGGTAAAATTATATAAGCCTGAAACAATCATGCAAAGGGATCCACACAGGCAGACCCTGGTGCCCATGCATGATTCTTAGAGTGGTATTTACAAGCAATTACTGAAAAAAGTTAAAGATTATTAACACCAATGATTTTATGGTCTAAGCAAATCACTATAAAAATACTATCATACACTTCAGGGTTATTCAAATCAACTGTGCAGTGCAAAGAATAGCCCTGTAAAGGCATTATATGCATTTAAGTAGGGAATATATATTTTTTTCCTACTCTGCTCTATTATATATGTACATAAATTTTTTCAGGATTAGGACTAACATTCATACAGGGCTGCTTGCTTTCACTGTGACTGGAAGTACATATATATATATATATATATATTTAATCTCACTGGAATTGTACCTGGATTAGTTTTGGGCAAAAGACAAATTTGAGAATTAAATTAAAGGAAAAATTACACAAAAGGGAAGGTTGCAATTTGTATGTGCTATAAAACCAAAAACAGGTTAGCACTGTATAGAACATTAACTACGGGATCTAAGTTTTTTTTAATCACAAAAACTGTGGTCATGGTGTGAAGGAGGAAGGAAGCTTTTCGTAAAAGAACTCAGCACTTGCCTATCATTGCTCCAGCTGAGGTTAATCGTAATGTTATCTCTAATGGGAACAGTTAAAGCCAATGATCAGCATTTGTGAAAATCCTGTCTTCAGCACATAGCTAATGAAATTACCAGTTTCCTCAATGTTCAGTAAACTCAGCCACAAACAGTAGCTTCAAAGGTCAACCATTTCTTTGTTCCTCATCTCAACTGACATGTTTTTCTTCATTCTAATTCTGAAAAATGTAGTGACCAAAATGGGCAAGAGGAGAAGGAGCACAATGGCATGACCACCTTCATCAGCTCTGGCTACCTGACAAATATCACAGTGATGTGAAACGGCTTCCTCCACCTCCCCTTTGTATGCTCTCTTCCTTCCCCACCTTAATGACTGCATACCCCTTCCTATCTTTTTCCCTTCTGTCTAATACAAGTTTGGCTTAGCCAGCCAATACAGCATATTTTGCAAAATTGCTGTCAACTTGTGACTAGGATTGTGTTAGTGGGAATTTATTGCTGTTAAGAAATGCACTGAAACAAAATGGAGACTGAATCTAAAAGAACAATCCAAAATGGAGTTGTGGTGCATGATGGGACTTTAAAATGGAACCCAACAGACTGTGAGGACTTTTGCCGCCAGAAACACCCTTTGCACACGGCACGTGTTCATGCACACCACACCAGTCGTCTGCACCCAGCACCACGTGTTTGCGCACAGCAGCACGCCTTGCTTTGCATTCAAGACCATTGAAGTTTCCCGCCTTGGATTCTAGAAAACCAAGAAGTCTGAGGAGATCTGGTCCGCAGTTTCTCACTACACCTGGAGAAGGAGTCGTGTCACAGAGGAGACTGTGGTGAAGGCCCAGTCTAACCTGCCTGGTTCTACTCCTGCCGCCCTCAGGGTGCTTCGGCCCACACTGTGGTGAAAGCCCAGTATCATGAGCCCTAGCTACCTGATAGCCGACCCAACATCATTGGGACCGCATAGAGCCTCCAGCATCAGCTGTGGTGAAGGCCCTCCTGGTGTTCAACATTGCTCTTCGGTTACATCCCGAATCTGTCAGCTGTGCAAGCAGAGGCTGACATCATCAAGCGTCTCTACTTCACCAAGGACACCTCAGTGCTCCTCCCCGACAGCTACCTCAGCTAAAGGGTTGCAGGTCCTGAACATCAGCTGCCTCTGACAGACTGAGTATAACATCAATTATATCGTACCTGTCTTATTTTCAGAGGGTGAGGGGTTGGTTATTGATTTAGTGTTATGTTTATTACCTGTTGTATTCAATACAGTTTTGCATTTTTCAAACATAAGATCAGAGTCTGTGTTTATTAACATCTGAGAGATCTGCTGGTGATAGATACAGTGGGTTCCAGGCCGGATCTCCTTCTGGGACAAAGGCATTTATCACCTAGTCAGCAGGCCCCAGTCTAAATTGGTTTACTAGTGCGCCTTTGCTGGTAACAGTTGTCAGATGGTTTAACACACCACATAACCCCAAATCGCCCCCCCCCCCCCCCCCAAAAAAAAAGCACCGGAAAAAAATTCTGTCAAGGAAAAAAGGGGGAGACCAAAGTTGTTAAGCAAAAAAAGCAAGGGGGGGGCGGGGTGGACTCCAAGACTTAAGTAAAAAAAAAAAATTAAAAAATAAAAAAGAATTAAAACAGC